GTCCTGGGTCCCGCGCCGGTCCCGGGTCACGGGTCCCGGGTTTTGCGCCGGTCCCGGGTCCCAGGTCTCGCGCTGGTCCTGGGTCCTGGGTCTCACGTCCTGCGCTGGTCCCGGGTTTCGGGTCCCGCGCCGGTCCCGGGTCGCGGGCCCCGGGTCCGGCGCCGGTCCGGAGTCCGGCGCCGGTCCCGGGTCGCGGAGTCCCGGGTCCCGAGTCCCGCGCCGGTCCCGGGTTCCGGGTCCCGGGTCCCGCGCCGGTCCGGGTCCGGGTTTTGCGCCGGTCCCGGGTCCCGGGTTTCGCGCCGGTCCCGTCTCCAGGGTGTCGCGTTGGTCCCCGGTCGCGGATCTCGCGCCGGTTCGTCCCGGGTCCAGCGCCGGTCCCGGGTCCCGGGTCCCGCGCCGGTCCCGGGTCCCGGGTCTCGCGCCGTTCCCGGGTCTCGGGACCCGCGCCGGTCCAGGGTCGGGTCCCGCGCCGGTGCCGCGTCCCGGGTCCCGCGTCGGTCCCGGGTCGGGAGTGCCGGGTCGGGCGCCGGTCCCTGGTCCCGGCCGGGTCCCGGGTCCCGCGCCGGTCCGGGGTCCCGCGCCAGTCCCGGGTCCCGGGTCCGGGTCCCGGGTCCCGCGCCGGTGCAGGTCCCGCGCTGGTCCCGGGTCCTGGTCGCGGGTCCCGCGCCGGTCCCGGGTCCCGGGTCTCGCGCCAGTCCCGGGTCCCGGGCCCCGCGCCGGTCCCGAGTCCTGGGTCCCGCGCCGATCGCGGCTCCCAGATCCCGCGCCGCAAGGTTGCGGGTCCCGGGTCGCGCGCCGGTCCCGAGTCGCGGGCCCTGAGTCCCGGGTTCTGCGCCGGTCCCGGGTCCCAAGTCCCCTGGGTCCCGCGCCGGTCCCGGGTCCGGGGTCGCGCGCCGGTCCCAGGTCCCGGGTCTCGCGCCGGTCCCCGGTCCCGGGGTCCCGCGCCGGTGCCGCGTCCCGGGTCCCGCGCCGGTCCCGGGTCGGGAGTGCCGGGTCGCGCGCCGGTCCCGGGTCCCGGGTCCCGGGTCCCGCGCCGGTCCCGCGCCGGTCCCGGGTCCCGGGTCCCGCGCCGGTCCCGGGTCCCGGGTCCCGCGCCTATCCCGGGTCGCGGGTCCCGGGTCCAGCGCCGGTCCCGGGTCCCGATTCCCACGCTGGTCCTGGGTCGCGGGTCCCGAGCCTGAGACCGGCGCCGGTCCCGGGTCCCGGGTCTCGCGCCGCTCCAGGGTGCGCCGGTCCCCGGACCCGGGCCCGGGGGCTGGAAAAACGTCGTCAGCCCGCGTCAGCCCGCGTCAGCTCGCGTCAGCCCTCCCTCCCCCCTCTCCCTCCCAGGAGCGCGCCCGGGTCCTGGATCCCGGGCCCGGAGTCCGGAAAAACGTCAGCCCGCGTCAGACCGCGTCAGCTCGCGTCAGCCCGCGTCAGCTCGCGTCAGCCCTCCCTCCCCCCTCTCCCGCCCAGGAGCGCGCCCGGGTCCCGGATCCTGGGCCCGGAGGCCGGAAAAACGTCAGCCCGCGTCAGCCCGCGTCAGCTCGCGTCACCCCGCGTCAGCTCGCGTCAGCCGCCCCCCCTTCCCAGGAGCGCGCCCGGGTCCCGGATCCCGGGTCCTGGGGCCGGAAAAACGTCAGCCCGCGTCAGCCCGCGTCAGCTCGCGTCAGCCCGCGTCAGCTCGCGTCAGCCCGCGTCAGCTCGCGTCAGCCCCCCCCCCCTCGCCAGAGCGAAGCTTGAGCGAGCTCAAGCCCACGCTCTCAGGAACTCACACGCCGGATCGGCGGATTCGGGTCTTCGGGTTGGGTTGGGGTGGTCTGGGAGGTAGTCATTTTCAATTATTTGGAGACGGCCCTGGCATGGCCGCAGCAGGCTCAGTTGATCATCGGGAAGCTCCTCCCGAAGAAGGCCGATGGTGACATAGTCATCGGCCTGGCGTCTCTCATGGGGGGGCTCTGGTCTCTTGCGCGGGAGGGCCGCGTCCGCGAGTGGGCCAGCGTCGCCGAGGAGGGCTGGGGTGCCGCCGTCCTGGGCAGCGCCCCCCTCCAGGAGGCGTTCTTCCGCGCGCTGGGGGGGGAGGTCGCCGCGGCCATGAAGCTCGCCTCGGCCCGCGGCGTGCTCGACGTGCGGGGCTTCTACGACGCCATCCAGTGAGGCCTGCTCCTCGGCGCGGCCTTGCGCCTGGGGTGCCCGCCTGCCGTGCTCTTTCTTGAGGTCGCCCAGTGCGTGGCACCTCGCGCGCTGGATCACTTTGGCGCAGTGTGCGATCCCTTCGCCGTCGGGCATTCCATCATTCAGGGCCTCCGTGGAGGCGCCCGATTTGCCAAATGCGTGGTTCACTTTGTGCTTGCAAAGATTTCTACAGTTCACGTTTCTCTCAGCCACAGGATCTGGGTGGGCGACATTTCTCAGCGGATGGTTGGGCCGAGCAGCCACCTTCGCGCCGAGGTCGCAGCATGCCTGGCCGACGCGTGCGACGAGATGGCCAAATGGAAGTTGGACGTCTCGCCCAAGTCCGTCACCGTGTGTTCGGTTCACGGCGACGCGGTTGAGATTTCCCGCCGTCTGCGTGCTTGGGGGTTTCAGGTGCGAGCGGTTCGACAGGCCCCCTTTCTTGGCATTGATCAGGGAGGCGGCGCCCGCCATGCTGGGCAGGGTCGCCGCAAGAGGGTGGTCAATCATGCTAAGCTCCACTCCAAGATTCGCAGGTACGCCAGAACTGCCAAGACCTTCGCCATCACGAGCAGGCTCGAGGACCAGCGCTGCTGCCGCTGGCAATTATGGCCACCAGATCTTCGGCGCGTTCGGCGCCCACATGGATAACTTCAGGAGGAGTTTGGCCGCCGTCTTGAGCGGCGGGGGCCGCGGTCTCTGCAAGACCACCCTCATGGCCATCAAGGAGCCGCTGCAGGACCCAGGCATCAAGCTTCCACGCGAGTGATTGGAGTTCTGGCTGAAGCAGTGGTTCACCACCCCGTCTATTCGAGGCGGCGTGCATCGCGCTTGGCAGGCGGTGGTCAGCCGCCTCCGCTCGGTCCCTGCAGGCCGGCGCTCCAGGCGCGTCCGAGGGCCCGTGTCCGCGGTCGCCGTGTACCTGCTGGAGCGGCAGTGGGGCCCCCAGACGCCCACCTTGTGGGTCATGCCCGACGGCGCCGAATGGCGCTTTCCCGAGGAGTGCTACTCCGAAGTCATGGCGCTCAACGGGCTCAAGCAGTTCTTCTTGGACTTCGACCGCGCCTCTGAGGCGCTTCTCTGGCAGCAGGCGGAGCGGCGCTTTGCGGAAGTGGCCTCGGCGGCGGCGCAGAGCTCACCTCTTTGCGGCAGCTGCTCCGCCAGCTGGCGCAGGCGCCCCAGGGGCGCCGCTTGGCGGAGCCCCTCGTCTCCGTCGCCGCGGGCGGCAGCTGGCCACGGCAGCGGCGGGCTGATGCAGCGCGACGGGTTTCCGTCGACCCGTTGTGCGCGCGCTGCAGGAATGCTCCTGAGACGCCCTTCCACCGCATCTGGGGCTGCGAGGCCAACTTCGGGGAGGGGGCCTACGTGCAGTCCAACTTCTTCTTCCCGCAGGCGAGCGCTCAACATGGGGCCGATGAGGCGTTGTGGCTGCGCGGGCTACTGCCAGCGGGGCGCATGCAGGTGCCCCCCTCCGCCACAGGACGAGCGCTGGTGGACCTCGGGCTTTCGCGGGGGCGAGCTGTCGGAGGGGTTCGGTCCAGGCGTTGCGGATCGTCCCGTCCTCCTGTTCGGGGGCGCCAGCGGTGGGGCCGATTCCCCCAGCACTTTGTTCCGTCGGGTGTGCGTCGGCTTGGCCCATTTCGACGATGAGCTCTCGATGGCCCTCCTGAGCACGGTGTCGGGGATCCTCCCAGGGCACCGGCAGTCGGTTCCTCGAGGCGAGTTGTTCATGTTTTTCTGCGCCCTCCGGTGGGCGCCAGATCATCTCATATACGTCACAGTTCACAAAGCAGTCTTTGACGGCTGGCCCGCGGCCCGCGATCGTCGACCAGAGGGGGGGAACAGCGACCTGTGGGCCCAGATCGGAGAGCTCGTGTCTCATCGTGAACGGGGTCACATCGTTCTGCTTTTCACCTTCAGCCATATGGAAGTATCAGATATTGTAGCTGGCAAGGCCTCCTCCTCGCTTGTGCACGGCAATGTGTTCGCGGACGCTCTGGCGAGTTGGGGTGCAGACCGTGCCCGTCTGCCCGACAGCGTCCGATCCCCGATATTGTATCTCGAGCAACAGGTGTTCTGGATACGCACGAGAATTCTGAGGTCTTCGCTTGACGCGTTAGCCGCCGAGGACAAGCTCGTGAGTGAAAGCTCCCCTGTAGGTCTCCAGGGTAGGTTTAGACGGCGGGGGGGAATGGGCCCTGGGGGCCCCGTGGCTGGCGAGAGCGTTGATGGAGGGTCCGCCCTCGTCCCTGGCTTCGCGGCTCCCGTGCCCCCGCCCCCGCCTCCGCCGTCTACCGACACCGTTTCGATTTTCGAGTCTAGCCATGCTTTGGACGACTCTGGACGTCGGTGTTGTAGGTGTCGAGGGTCCTCGTCAGTGGCCCTTGCTCGTGCCTGGCGTCAGTCGTGCTGCTTCCAGTTAGTTGCACTTGATGGCTCCTTCGAGGTCTCCCCGACGGGGGGAGGTTGCACATTGCTGGGGGGTGGACCCACCCCTCCCACAATTTGCGTCACCACCAGGATCTAGGTATCTGGTTTTGCGCTTCCTGTGGGATGTATGGGGACCAACAATTAATCGGTTTAGGTAAGTTGTGCCCCAATGTGGTGACCGACGCCCGAGCCGAGTATCTTTCCCGTATCGAGCGGGGTTTATTCCCCAAAGCCTATAGCAAGGCCGAGCTCGAGAGGAAGACTGGGGCCTATAAGGGGCCTTAGTGGCGGCGGGGGTGTTGCCCCGCTTTTTATTCATATGGACTTTGCCCTGGCACTCCCGACTCCCGACTCCTCCTCCTCCTCCTCCTCCTCCTCCTCCTCCTCCTCCTCCTCCTCCTCTCCTCCTCCTCCTCCTCCTCCTCCTCCTCCTCCTCCCCCTCCCCCCCCCTCTGGCCCGGGTGGCTGTATTGGCGGCCGGGGAGCGCGCGCTGCGGGACACGCTCACCTTCGAACCCGGGTCGCCACCCAGGCAAACACGGGCAGCGTCGGCGCCATCTGCGAGGGGGGAACTTATACATGAGCACCGCCTGGGGGGTCAGTTTTCGGAGCCTCGGCAGGCGGTGGATATGGACATCTTCGGGCCCCCGGGGGCCGACATATATCCATATCCACCGCCAGCTGGGGCTTCAGGGTCGGTTCCCAGGCGGTGGATATGGATAAATCCCCGTGTCGGCGCCATCGCATCGGCGGGGGGCTCGGCGTGCGAGAGTCCAGCCTATCGATCGAGGCCGCGGCGACTGCTGGATGGTCGGCGCCTCCGCTGCAGCGGCGGGCCGCCCGCCGATCGTCGCCGCAGCACTCGGCGCGCCACCGCCTCGCTCGCCCGAAGTTCGGGCGGTGTGGGTGGCGACGCGCAAGGGGAGCAAAAACACAGCTGCACTGCTCTTGATGGGCCTGTTTTCCATCACCACCACCATCAGTTGGAGGCGGGACGGAGGAGGAGGAGGAGGAGGAGGAGGAGGAGGAGGAGGAGGAGGAGGAGGAGGAGGAGAGGGAGGAGGAGGAGGAGGAGGAGGAGGAGGAAGAGGGAGGAGGAGGAAGAGGGAGGAGGAGGAGGAGGAGGAGGAGGAGGAGGAGGAGGAGGAGGAGGAGGAGGAGGAGGAGGAGGAGGAGGACCCAGGTCCGGCAATCCGCACCCCCACTTTGCCAGCCCTCCTCCCTCCGACCCCCCTATGGGTATGGGTATGGGTGTGTGTTGCTGTTTCGTCATGTTCGTTACCCTTCGTTCCCACGCGGCCCCCGGCCTCCCGAGGCAGGGGCGTCCATCCAGCCGCTCGCCGACCCCGCCAGCGCCGAGCCCGAGAGGGCGAACGGGCCGGCCGCCCCCGAGGCTCAGGACGACGCTGCCGCGCCGTCGGACGAGGGCCCCCCCGAGGTCCAGGCCGCCGGCGCGCCCGAGCCCGCACGGTGTGGTGAGGCCCAGCGGTGGAAAGAATACCAACAAGCAAGCAAGCAAGCCTGGCTGGGATACAGTCGCGGCCGATTGACGTAAGCCGACCCTGCCAAATCCAGGGCACCCTTGTGCCCCGTGCTTCGCGACCCGTGCCTTCTGCATTCCTGTGGCGCCGTGGCCCCCGGAAGGGTCCTGCGCCCCCTCGCGTGCCCTGTCCAGACAGTGCTGACACCTTGGAGCCGGCTCGGGGTCTGCGGTGGCCCAGCCTTGCTTCCGGCGAGCATTAGGGTTAAGTCGGGCTTGTCCCCTACAGGGGGATTCTGTGCGAAAATTAAAAGTATCCCTAAAACATTCCAAAAGTGTAAAAAATAATATCAAACATCGTCTCCAGACTTTTTTGTTAAAAAAGATAAGAAATACTTTTGAATATTCCTCCTGTAGAGGGACAGGCCCGACTTAACATTCGGGGGGGGGGCGAGGCTCGAGGTGCGGCGTTCGAGACGGTTGCCTGCCTCTTCTGCGGCCTCTGGGAGCCGTTGTCGCTCCCCAGGACTGCGAGAAGCGGATCCGGGGTGAAGGACCTCGGGATGGGGCCTGGGGGCCGACGGAGGATCCGGAGTGGAAACCCAGGACTGGAAGGAACGGATCCAGATGCACCTTCACCACCCACCAAACCACCCCAACCCAACCCGAAGGCCCAAATTTATCCTCGATTTCCAGTGGGGGGGGGTCGGGGAACGTTGAGAAAACACATGGTATCCGTACCCCCGCCAACCCGAAATTCGGGTCAAATTCGGGTCTTCGGGTTGGGTTGGGGTGGTCTGGTAGGTAGTCACACCTCTGGAGGGGTCCGGGGTTTGATTTGGAGCGGATGCAGCCCCATCCCTCCTGTCCTGACCGATCATCTGGGACCCAAAACAGTTCCGACACCTCGGCCGCCTCCGACCGATGTCGCTGTTCGTCCTGGAGGTCCCTCGTTGCCACGGCTGGATTCTCTGAGCTTCGAATCGGGGGTCGACTACATAGTCGAATCACCCCAGAATTGACTTCCTCGCCGAGCCCACGAGAAAATTACGTAGACTGGTCCGCAGGTCTACGGAGCGTTAGATCTGTTTCGTGTATATTCGACGGGGAATCAATTCGTGGGACGTGTAGGTGCGAACGCCGTGCGCTACCTCGAAAGGAAGAAATCGATTCTGTAGTCGATCCCCAGCTCGAACAGATCTCCAAGCTGGAGCAGGTGGTCTGGCGCAGAGGGGTCGGCGGCGAGAAGTGCCGTCGCGCTCCTTCACTGTTCGTGCACGGGCGGTTCGCGTCGTGTCGACAGGCGGCGATCCCGCCGCCGGCGTTCAACGTTGAACGCCGCCAGCGACCTAGAATCGATCGATGTCGAACGATCTGACGTCTCGGGAACGGCCGATCGTTCAAGGCTGAACGGTCCCCACGGTGTCAGCAGCTAGCGCCGAAGTCGGCACGACACGAACCTTCCGTGCCAGTGTTTGCAAGACTTCGCAGCCACTGCTGGGTGGCGCGATCCACTTCGCGGGCGACAAGCCCTGAGACCCTGGCGACCTCATTTGCTCGAGCCTGGCGTTTTCGCTTCGGAGGAGGATGAGGAGGAGGAAGGGGAGGAGGAGGAGGAAGAGGGGGAGGGGGAGGGGGAGGAGGAGGAGGAGGAGGAGGAGGAGGAGGAGGAGGAGGAGGAGGAGGAGGAGGAGGAGGAGGAGGAGGAGGAGGAGGAGGGAGAGGAGGAGGGAGGCGAAAAACGACGCAGAGTGATGGGGTCCAGGGCGCCAGGCGTGATTCTTCACGATGCTTCGATTTCTTCGAGGCGTCGGATCCGAGGGGCTATTGCGTGTGGAAATCAGCTGCACAACTGCGTCCACGCGCAACTCTTGCATCCAGCGGTCAGGCTACTGCAGCCAGGCGCCAACTGCTGCAGGCACTGCAGCACCTCTCCCCGCGGACACCCGTCTGCGCCAGAGACCCACTACTCCGGCTGAGCTCGCCTCGAGACTTTGGGCAGAGCGCACCCTGGTTCGGTAGCCAATCATCGGAGCCTTGTGTCCTCGCAGTCCCGTCTTGAGCCCTCGTGGGCCCGAACAGATCACGCGACGGGACGCGCGGCAGGCCCCAGGAGGCGCGCGGAGAGCCCTGGGAGATCCGGCAATTCGAGGTCCAGGCCCTGTCAAGGATGCTCGGCATTCACGGCTGAGGCTTTGGGGTTTGGGCGAATGACCGGAAGACGTTTCAGCTCGCGCCTCAGGGCACGGCGGCGGATGGATGGTCTTGAAATCACGTTTTCTCAACTCTTTCACCACATTGCTCAATTTGGCCAGCAGCAGAGGTGGTCAGACACATCATGGCCCCTGTTCTAACCCCCGCCTCCACTTCCCCGCATGATCGCAGCAGTAAAGGATTGGTTTTGCACGAGCTGCAACACAGGTTCCAAGACAGAAGACTCGAAGTTTATGGGGGCACGTGCGCGCGGTGTCATATCTTTTTGGGGCGTTTTGCAGTTTCAAGCTCGCCGCCGCAGTCACAGTTTTGTTGCTTCACGCTTTGGTCCGGAAGTGTGCTGGAATCTCGGTTGCGGAAAATGTGCCATTGGTCTTGCATTCGAGTTTTTTCTGTTTCGATTTCCGCCTTCCTACAACCCTCGTCAAAAATAAACTGAGGGATTCTGTTTTCGGTGAATGTATGGTCAGCGCTACTCCAATGCTGACGCTAGATATCTGACGTGGACGCAAGGGCTTCAAAAATCCGACGACCCCTCCGCAGCATTGAAGAACGCAATTTCTGGCGAGTGCCCGAGAAGATCGATCGTTGTGCTTTCCATCTGCGTTTCTGTTTATTTTTGACGAGGCTTGTAGGATGTGGATCACACTAGGGCCAAGCGTTGCCACAGGAGGAGAGGTTCAGGACCGTTTAACCGTCCCTTGTCCCCATCCCCATCCCCATCCAGAGCCCCACCACTGTACCGCCGCAGTGGGGGGGGGATAGACGGATCAAATTACCCCTCGAAACCCGAAGGAAGCTGCTTATGTCACCTATCTGGGGGGGGAGATCGGCCAGTGGGGCCCAGGCCGCGCCGATGAGGATAGGGTCGGGCTCTCGCAAAGGAGGGGTGTGCTCCGAGGTGTGTGTGACTGTGTGAGTTCGATCGGTTCCTGTACCGAGCCGCCCAGCCTGAAACAGACGCTCCTCCAGCCGCCGGCAGCTCCCGACAGCTGGTGATCGGTGGGGCACGCGTGGGGCACCTGTTTTCGGCAGTTCGGTGCACCAGCGGATCGAACTCACGCCTCCCCTCAGGGTCACCCTCCCTTTGGCCTCTGGCGGAATCCCGACAGGGATTGGTGACACGATGCTTACGTAAAGGGAAGGTCCGTGGAGCGGCAGAGCTTCGCTCCGACCGCGCGCGCGCAGAGCGGCCGATCGGCGAGGCCGCTGCCGCGAGGGCGCGCGTCGGGCGCCGGCCCCGCTCGGCCCCGTGCAGGGCGCGCGCGCGAGGCACTCCTCTCTGAGGGAGGAGGGCCTCCGCCTCCTCTCCTGCTCGCCCCCCCTGCTCGCCTCCCCTCCTCCTCCTCCTGCTCCTGCTCCTCCTCCTCCTGCTCCTCCTCCTTCCCGCGTGGAGCCCAGACCCCCGACGTCATGACTTCTTCTTGACGTCGACCCTCAGGGGTCCCGACATCGTCCCCAGGACAGACTTGTCATCCTGCGTGGTTCTTGGATGGTCCGAGGCCCGGTAAGGGCGCCCAGAGGTCGAGGTAAGGACCCGCAGAGGTCGTGACTTGGAGGTCCGTGGAGTGATCCTACAGGCCTGGGAAGAAATTAGCGGACACCCATGCCGCATTCATCTGTCAATGCCCCCCCAATGATCAATGTTGGCGGTGGGTCGAATGAGCTGCACTTCGACCGCAGTCTTCCCCGCTCATGCCAACTTTGTGTTTGAGGGAGCGGGAGACTGTCCATTAATCGTTTCCCTCCGCCGTATCGGTGTAGTTCTGGTCCCCCAGAGGCGGGCGGGAGGGCCGGCCCCGGCTGCCTGCTCGGAGGCGAGAGGGAGCGGTGGTGCCCTGCGGGCCACCCGTTGCTGGAGTTCCACGCCAGGGCCGGGTACGCGTGCAACCTGTGCCAGGTGGGGGGGCCAGGGGCAACGTGGAAAGCGCGCCAGTGGATGGCCCTGAATACACAAAAGGGGGGGTGTGCTCGCAGAATCCCCCCCCTCTCCCCCCCTTCAAAGGGGGGTTGAGATTTTCGACCCCCCCCCCCCCCCCCCCCCTTAAAGGGGGAGGGGGTACGACCCCCGCCCCCCTCCCCCCCTTGAAGGGGGGGGGGGTCCGGACACCCGCCTCCCCCCCTTGGCGCTGGAAAGGGGTGGGGGGTTCGAACCCCTCCCCCTTCTACCCCTTTGCGCCGAACACGGGGCTGGGGAGGGGGGCCTCTCGGGTAGTGAGTAGAGAGTAGAGTGTTTTGAATAGCGATTGGTGAATAGTGGGTATTTGGTAGTGAGTAGTGCCCAGTGAGTCGTGAGTAGTGAGAAGTGACTGGTGGGTAATGGGTAGTGGTAGTACTGAGTAGTGCGTAGAGATTAGTGAGTAGTGAGTAGTGAGTAGTGAGTAGTGGGTAGTGAGTAGTGGGAAGGAAGTAGAGAGTAAGGAATTATGAATAGTGAATAGTGAGGAGTGAGTAGTGTGTAGAGAGTAGTGCATAGTGAGTAGTAAGCAGGGAGTAGGGATGAGGGAGTAGACAATAGCGAATAGCGAGGAGTGAGTAGTGAGTAGTGAGTAGTGAGTAGTGCGCACGGAGTAGAGAGTAGTGAGTCGTGAGATTGAAGGAGCGAGTAGCGAGTAGGGAGTAGGGAGTAGGGATCAGCGCGTAGGGCTTTGTGAGTAGTCAGTAGTGGGGAGGGAGTAGTCGGGAGTCAGTAGTGCGTAGTGAGTAGGGAGTAGTGCGTAGCGAGTAGGGAGTCGCGAGTAGTGAGCAGTGAGTAGTGAGCAGTGAGTAGTGAGTAGGGAGTCGTGAGTAATGAGTAGTGAGTAGTGAGAAGCGAGAAGTGGATATTCAGTAGTGGGTAGTGAGTAGGGATTTGCGAGTAGAAATCAGTGAGTAGTGAGCAAGTCGTGAGTCGTGAGTCGTGAATAGTGAGCAGTGACTAGTGAGTAGCGATTTGCGACTAGTGACTAGTGAGTAGGGATGGCCAGTAGCGGATAGTATTGAGTTGTGGGCAGTGCGTAGTGAGTATTGAACCGTGAGTGTTCAGTAGGAAGTAGTGGATAGTGGTTAGTGGGTATTGAGTAGTGCTTAGTGAGTATTGAGTAGTGGGCAGTGAGTAGTGTGTAGTGAGTAGTGAGTACTGAGTCTTGGGTAGTGAGTAGTGCGTTGTGGGTAGTGAATAGGGAGTAGGAAATAGTGAGTAGTGAGTAGTGGGGGCGCAGTGAGTAGTGAGTATTGGGTAGTGAATAGTGCGTATCGGGTAACGAGTAGGCCGTTGGGATTAGCGAGTAGTGAGTAGCGAGTACTGTGTAGGGGGTAGGGAGTAGGGAGTAGCGAGTAGCGAGTAGTGGATAGTGAGTAGTGAGTGGTGGGCAGTGAGTGCTGAGTAGTGAAGTGTGAGTAGTGAGTAGTGGATAGTGGTTAGTGGGTAGTGATTTGTGATGTGTGATTAGTGAGTAGTGGGTTGTGAGTTGTGTTTAGTGAGTAGTGAATATTGAGTAGTGGGCACTCAGTAGTGAGTAGTGAGTAGGGAGTAGTGAGAAGTGGGTAGTGGGTAGTGAATGGTGGATAGTGAGTAGTGAGGAGTGAGTGGTGAGTAGCGAGTCGTGAATTGTGGGTAGTGAGTAGTGCGTAATGAGCAGTGAGTGCTGTTTGGGGCCAGGGTTTGGGTTTGGGGTTAGGGTTGGGGGTTAGGGTAACGGTGAGAATTCGTGTTAAGGGTGGTCGGGGTCGGGTTCCGGAAATCAGGGGCGCCGTGGCGAAATGGGGGGGGGAGGTTTCGAATTTGGCGGCCAAAGGGGGGGACGGGGGTGGGGTTCGGACCCCCTACCCCCCCTTCTGAAAGGGGGGGAGGGGGGGCGTCTCCGACGACGGACCGGGAAAGGAGGAGAGGGGGGGGGGTCCCCGACGACTGATCGGGAAAGGGGGGGAGGGGGGGTCCCCGACGACGGATCGGGGAAGGGGGGGGGTTCCCTCCCCCCCCCCCCCCCCCCTTTTGGGGTCATCCAGCGGCGCGCCCTCGGCAACGTGTGTGAAGTCCGCTCGTATCAGCATAATATCCATATCTACTGCTGCCGTCGCGTCTCAGGCACTGGAAGCAGGTACAGCGCCGCCTCCCCGGCAATCCTTGTAGGTCCGATTCTTCGGTCGTCAACCTACATACACAGCGAGAGGAGGTCACAGGGGAATTCTCGGGCCTTCGAGGATCGAGGTGTCAGGAAGCCTCATTGGTAAACGGCGGCTCTCAAGCCCTCGGGGTGCTTTACAGCGAGTGCCCCTCGCCGAGGGCGCCCTGGGGAGTGCCTGGATCGTCCCGGACGACCGCAGGAGGCCCGAAAGACGGACGACGAGGATCAGTGGGGGGGACATCGGCGTCGCCCAAACATACTAATATCATATGTGCGTCGCTCCCCTGGGGGCGACGCGCGCGCCGAGAAATCTTCGTATACACGTCGTGGTTGGCGCTTTCTGACCACGCCGTCGGGAAACGATATATATATATATATATATATATATATATAATATATATATAAATAATAATATAGATGGGTATATAATTTATTCGGGTCGGGCGCGCGCCTCCAAGGAGGACATCTAGCATTACTGTGTCTCCGTGTGTCCCAAGGCATGTTCGGGTGGGGAGTCATCGCCCGCCCAATCGCCCTTGGATCGTCGATCTGGGGTCTGATAGCCCGCCCGCCCAGGAGCGTGCGGCTCCATTGCCGAGGGCCTATCGGCGACGCATCGGCGGTGCATCGCCGGTTCCAGGTCAAAATGCTTCCCCGCCGGAGCTGGTCCCCCCCTGTCGCTGCCACCCGCAAAGGGCGCCAATGTACATTATATACATTTGTATACATATTTTTGTATATTTGTGTAGGTATGTATATATATATATACACATAGACATCACCTATTGATAAACATAATGATATATACATCCCCTGGCGGTAACAGGCGGGACCATGCTAAGACAAGCGGGGGCGGATGCGAGTCGCGTTGCGATTCGCGCCGGCGCCGTCTGGGGGGTTAGATTCCCAAGCGGCTCCGGCGCGAATCGCGACGTGACCACGAAGTGGGTGAGGGGGGGGCCGCGGCCAGTCACGGGCGGTATCGCGAAAAATAAAAAACAGGATCCTGGGGGCGCTAACGTTTCCTTACCATCCCGTGGTCCTCGCAAATCCCCCCTCGTGCAAGTTTTTTTAACAACGGGCGTTATCGCCAGTGATCGAGCCGCAGGACCATCACATATCGATCCAGCTCAAGAAATGTGGCAGAAAGATGTGGTCCAAGGCTCCGGTCATGTTCTGTCTCACGATGTTTCATTTTTTCGCGCCGTATGCGTGCACCCTATGCAATGCGCCAGCGAGCCTCGTCCTCGTTTCTTGGCCTTCGGGCGGGGGCCTCGTTACCACGGCTGGACTTGAACCGGACAACTGCTCAGCAGGGACCTCGGGGCGTGTCAGTGGAATTGTTTTGGAGTGTATTTTGGTTGGAAGGCGCCTGCTGGTTACCCAACCTCTCTGATCCTGACCAGGTCTTTCTTGGGTCCATAGCTGGAGTAGGTGTATCCGACTGTGTGTGTGTGTGTGGGTGTGCGATCTCTCTCTCTCTCTGTCTCTGTCTCTCTCGTGCATACTGTTTATCATGTATAGATATCGAGTTCTTCCTATGTATATGTATATCTGGGTGTGAGTGTAAGATATTCAGTTGCGCTGCGGGGCGCAGCCGCCACCGCGCTTTGGGAGCGACTGGGAGTGGGTGGGGCGGGTGGCGGTTAGTTCTTTTTTTTCGCAGATGACACAACATGGGGGGCCTTTTGGGGGTCTCTCGGGTCTTTTGGGGGCCTTTCGGGCGTGTCTCGGAACCTCTGGTGGCCTTTTCGGAGCTGCCTTCGCGCTGTCTTGGCGCCATCTTTGGCCGTCTAGCCGAGCCTGCTTGGGCTGTCTTGGACTCCCGTTGAGGCTGTATGGAGCCGTCTTGGGGGCCTCATGGGGCCCGCTTGGGTCGTAATAGTTGGCTCTTTGGGCTTTCTTTTGCAGTCTTGCGCTCTCTCAAGTCATCCTGGAATCATGTTGAGTCGACAAGCCGAACAGGCGAATAATTTCCGGAACGCAAGAACTTGGCAGCTTTGCCTGTCTGTGGCCTGCTTCGGATAGCTTTGGAATCGATCTTCTCCCTGGGGCTCCTTGGCCGAGGGTCTATCGCATCTTGCGAGACTCGGGGGATCTTTCGATCGTTTTGTATGGGTTGAGCTTCTAGACAGCTCACGTGACACACCCCAGGAGCGCCCAAGAGCTCCTGATAATTCTGACAAGCCAGGGATTGGCGCTAGATAGTCATACAATCCACTAACGCACTTGTATCACTCTTGTGGTACTTCACTTCGTGCTCAAGGCACGGCAACGGATATCTGGAAAACCGAATCCTGACATGAGCGGTTCTCCACCCCACGAATCTAAATGGCTTGCTGATCTTTCGGGGGTCCTCCTCCTCCTTCTCCTCCTCCTCCTCCTCCTCCCTCTCCTCCTCCGCCTCCTCCTCCACCTCCTCCTCCTCCTCCTCAATCTGCCTGAAAGGCTTTTCCACATCATGTTCTCACGGGAGGCTTGCGACGCGTTGAATCGCGGCGGCGGTCCCAGCGCGGGCGTTCAAGGTTCAAATGCCGCCGGTGGTCCAGAATCGGCCGCTGTCAAGCGATCTGCGCTACTGGAGAGCTGCCATCGTTCAAGATTGAACGATCCACGCACCGTCAGAAGCCAACGCCCCGCGACATCGCGACGTGAACCGGCCATAACCCACTTGCGACCGACGTGCACAGCTGGTGACCCAATGAGGCTGGTGATCCTTTTGCATCCTTGCGCCCTCCGAGGCCTCAGCTGGCCAATTCTGCATGCCAAGCTCCAACCTAGGCGCCCAGGATCT